CACACATACAGTACACACATGCACAAAAGCACTCATACACATGTGCACATGCACATACACTCTTTTTCTTACCAACACACACACAGACGTGCGCGCACCTACACACACTCTTTCTCTCTCTCTCTCTCTAACACACACACATGCACTCAAACACGTGTACACACACTCTTTCTCTCTCTCTCGTACGAACACACACATGCACACACACTCTGTCTGTCTCTCTCACACACACAGCCACTCACAGTGGGCCAGATGGTGTGTGTTGCTGCTCTTCACTGGAGCGTGTGTTTCTCTGTGAGGGAGGCCGATCAAAACAAATGTCTCTATTAGATTATGGTCTGTCTGGCCCCCGCACACACACTGCGCTCGGACACACACACACATGCAGTCCTCCTCTCAGGCTGTTATGAGGCCACACAATGGAAACTAACACTGATCATAATAAACAGTAACTGAGGATTTTCACTCATGTGTGTCTTCATTTCTACCAGCTGGAGGTCATACACACACACACACACACACACACACACACACACAAACACACACACACACACACACAAACACACAAACACACAAACACACACACACACACACACACAAACACACACACACACACACAAACACACACACAAACACACACACACACACACACACACACACACACACACAAACACACACACAAACACACAAACACACACACAAACACACACACACACACACACACGTCTGATACACATCTGTACAGTCTACAACTCAATCCTGCAATCTGACTTTAAATCGCACTACTTTACATCTCGCAGAACAGTATATAACCATAATTAATCTAAAGAAATAATTAGAATTGACATGTCATTAACGGGATTCGAACCCAAGTCAAAAGGATCTGCGCAAGTATCAATTGACCTATCTAACTGAGCTACACAGGTCTACACATTGGGGTTGGTTTGAATGTATTTATCAGTCAACATGTTGCTTTGTTTGTTTCCATGTACTTGCGTTTACATGTTTCTACATACTCTCACGCTGATATTCTTTCAGAGTAGCTCTAATATGTTTTATCGCAGTTGCTCAAACCATGGTTTTTATAGTTGTAGACTCGTGGAAACAGGGCCGGAGTGGGACTCTTATTCAGCCCTGGAGTTTCAAGCCTCAGACCGGCCCACCTCAGTTCACCACTGACTATATTAAAATAAGGTTTTTCCAATTCAGTTTCTAATTACACCATCACGTCTTTTTTTGAGAAAACAGCTCTTTTAGAACTTCAAATGTTCAACAACCCTTACAGTATTATGTCTTAACAAGAGAAATGAAAAAAAAAAATTGTTACTCAGACAAGGACCGAACCCAGGTTGACCGCGTCATAATCTAACGTACTAACCACTGTACCACAACAGCTGTACATTTAATGGTGACTTTTATCTTAGAAAATAGATAAAAAGAGCAGAGCTGCGGTAAAATAATGAATAAGAAGGCTGTGGTCAAGTAAATAAATAAATTATTTTTTAAAAGTGTGACTGCTGAGAGCAACCGATTCTGGAACTAGGGACACCGGCCCTTGCGGCCAAAAAACGGACCGGCCCACCGGGAATTCTCCCGGTCCTCCCGATTAGCCAATCCGGGCCTGCGTGGAAACCTGTGTCTACAAAGTCACACACGAGCTGATATTTTCCGATGTGTGTGGTACATTCCGGGTCACTACCGGTGTGTAGTACATTCCCTTTCCATAAGGAATCTGTCATTGTAAATTTGCATAGATATATACACTAGATATCGCATAGAGACCCTGAGCATGCGTCAATAGCGCCGCCACATTGGTACAGTGCTCCCAGTACAAATGTCATTCAACCGCACTAGTCAAGACAGTGTTATTACGTGAAGATGCGGGACTTTAGCGCTGTCTACGGGTGTAGTAAACAAAACAAAAAAACAAAGCACAAAGGCAGAACATTTCATAGGTAATATTAAGTTTTTTACGTTTTTGTATGTTCTGAAGTTTTGTGCTAATCAGGTAACATTATTGATGATAACAGTCACTTACTGCATTCACCATACGGCAAATCAGCTCTAACTCGCACTAAACACTTGGCTTATGCTAGTTTTGTTGAATAAAATCAGCAAACAATGCAAAAGAAATACGACAACGAGATGCTGCGCTGCCAGAAACTTGTATTATTGTCGGCTAACGTTAGTGAAAGAGTCGTTCGGGGGATTCATTCACAAACGAATCGCTCCCTCCGTCAGTATGAGCAGTGAAAGCAGGAGAGGAGCTGTGTTTCAGGACATGATTAGATCAGATTTAACAGGGAGGGTGAACAGTACATTTCTGTACACACAAACACAAGCTTTTTGTCAGGAATGCCCGTGCGGTCACTGATCCATCAATGTAGAAAAGTGATGTAAAATTATAAATTTCGTAATAAAAAAAAATTACATACTAACATGCAGGAAAACTCCCGATCATAGATATATGTGTATATGTGTATATCTCTGGCTTTGGATGGCCACAGTCCTCCACTGTACCTTGGTCCCGCATTCATTTCAAAGGAGCGCTACCCTGTAGCAAGATGGCGGCGCTATTGACGCATTCCGTCCAATAGACAACAACAGGCCAGGCGACATCTAATGTATATATCTATGGTAAATTTGTTTCGGGATTTGTAAAGTGTTTTACATCTTGTTAATTTGTTTCTAAAATGTAAATTTGTTTTGTTCTTGGTAAAATAGTTTTTCCTCTGTAATTGTGTCTGATGATGGGTAAAAATGTTTTTTCAAAATGTAAATTTGTCTCGAGCTTTGTAAAAGTATTTTACACTTTGTAATGTTGTTTTGCACTTCCAGGCCACCGTAGAAAACACCCTAAGAATGATTAACAAATCCATATGAAACAGTCCATTAAAAGTGTAGATGTGTCTTTAGTTTTGCGCTGAGGCACGCTTTGCACTTACACTACAAGCGTACAGCACCAAAGCCCAACCAAACCATGCTCTAACACACCTCTTCCAACTGGGCCAGGACCGGCCAACTGAACCACACCTAGGCTCGATTCTGAGCAATGTTAACTTAATATGTTTTTAAGTTTGATTGATTGAGATTTGAAGTTGAGATGGCTGGAAACATTTGTTTGATTTAACAACAACAACAAAATAAAATAAAATAAAATAAAGCAGCAGAATAAAAAAAAATCACAACTGCAACAAGTAAACTAAACAAAATCACTTTTATAAGGGGTTTAAACACAATAGTGTGGCAACAGTGTGTGAATATAGCCAGCTTCTAATGCTAAACATTAATTAATCATCAGAGGGGGGAAGCCCCACCCACTAGTGCCCATCTCTCATTAGCATAAACAGCAGCCCTGAGTGAGAAGCAGCCGTCTGTCCATTAGCCATTAGAGTGTTTGAGCTGCTGAAGATGATGTCAGCATAGACTAAGAGGATTATAGATGTGGAGTTTTAGATGAAGCACAAATGAACAGCGACAGGAGCGACATAGGCTGTACTCACACTATGTACAGTTGCCTTGAACCGGGCCAAAGCACGCTTGTCCCCATCCGGTCTCCCTCGACGGCCCGCGCTCACACTACAATCCGGGCCTCGGCACGCTTACGTCATCGCTGCTGCGCTGTTCAGTGAGAAGCACTCTCTCACTCAGCAGCACAGTGGAGATTTCTCTAGGTATATCGTGTCAGTTGTTTATATGCAGTCAAATATTTCGCCAAACAGTCCTTAGGGATGCGGGGACACGCAGTCAGATATTTCGCCGAACAGATCCGCCACTTTTGGCGCTCATAAACAATCATAAAGCTCTCGTGCTGCAGGAATGAGGAGGTCTGCTGAAGGTGCAGCTGTGGTGCAGTGAGGGGTTTGCGTCTTTAATAAGCTACGGCAGTTTGCGTTCAATGAACAGTAAGAATGATTCATAAATCCATATCAAACAGCCCCTTAAAAGTCACGTATCACTTTCAGTTTCGGGCCCAAGTGAACCGCGTGCAGGCCCACATCTTCCAATCGGGCCAGGGCCAGCCAAGTGAACCATGCTAGAGCCCGATTCAGCACACTCACACTTCTCAAACAATACGGGAAACAGGCCTGGGCACGATACGGATGGCATAGTGCGAGTAGGCCCATAGACTAACACAAGCATGAAGCACACACTCACACTAGAGCACACCTGACCAGCACTGCCTACACAGCTACTGTCACGATGGGCTTAGAAAAATACAAGAGATATCCAAGTGCAGCAATAGAAGTTTTAATAAAAAATAAGGGAACAGGCCAGGTACAAAAATCGAACAGAGACAAAAAGTACAACACAATAAACAAAAGTGAATCAACTAATGTTTGAACAGGAATTCAAAAATATGATCATAACATGAGACAAAGTGAACAAACAAACAAACCAAAACGATGAGTCAGTGAGCCGACTAGGACCAGATAAGAGCCGGACAAAACAAACCAGAATCGGGTGAACAGAGTGCACGAGCAGACAGCAAAAATCCAAAGGCAAACTAAACACAACATAACAAAGCTTTTAAAGACAACAACAATAATTAGACAATGACAAACAGCTGGAAACAATTAGTGATCACGTGAACTTCAAAGCAGGAAAAAAACGAAACATAACTAGTGTCCAGAAAACCACAAGATGGCACTACAGTAGACATGACAGCTAGTCCTGTTTTCAATCTGCCACTATGCTAACAAACAGGCATTTCTAGCTCCGCCCTTCTCTGCATAG